CAGACTTAGTCCAAAGTGATTTTAGTTTATTTATTTTGTTTACACATTTAGGGCTCCAGGAATGTTATATATCCAAGGAATCAAATACAAGACCAATCTGATTTCATCTCTTTACCCCTTTCCATGAATATTGGGAGATGCATTTAAATTTTAGTTAATGTTAGTATTGTTAATAATCATAATGTCAACAAGATAAAAAGACCAATGATTATATCAGTATTAGGAAAAAAAGACTTCCAAAAATTCAAGGAATGAGGGTAATCAGGTGAGTTCAGATAGGCTTAATAATTGACTTTTTAAAAACTAATAGCTTGTGCAGCCATCCATTCATAGACAGAATTTACAAAACAAACTTACAGCTGATAGTAAATGCACCTGGTGCCAATTGGGTAAAGTAAAGAAAAGAAAGGAAAAGAAAAGAAAAGAAAAATTAAATCATAAAAATGGAAAAGATTGTTTTCATTGTTGTTGTTCATAATGCATATACCCTTATCTGTGTGTTGTTGTTTTCCTATCACTATAGTAGTGATTCTATATATCCAACCACTTTTTCTTATTAGGTGGAATGATGGTTTGGATGAATACCGTCTGACGCCCATGGAACTAAGGGCTAAGTTCCGGCAGATGGGTGCAGATGCTGTGTTTGCCTTCCAGCTGCGGAACCCTGTACACAATGGACATGCCCTCTTGATGCAGGTTTGTGAATGCATCTTTGTATTTTACTTGTGGCAAGAATTCTGAAAACTGTGTATGCCATGACATATGTGGAGCAATATGTATGACTTGCTGTGAAATCTTGAAGGCCAGTGAAATATTTTTAGATACACAATATTACACTTTGCCAAATCATACATATAGCTAAGTCTCCTGATATTATTATTATTTTTTTTATTTGACTTTCAGGATACACGCCGTCAGCTTTTAGAGCGTGGTTACCACAACCCTGTGCTGCTCCTTCACCCTCTTGGAGGCTGGACCAAAGACGATGATGTGCCCCTGAAAACACGCATGGAGCAGCATCATGCTGGTAAGTTTAAGTCACATATTGTGTGTATATGTAATTATTATTATTATTATTATTATTATTTTATTTTTATTTTTTATTTTTTTCTTGAAGAGAGGGATTACTGCAGGATAACTTGAAATTTCAGTTAGTCACAATAAGGTTTGCATGTAGGATGTCACGAGATAATAATAAAACTTCATAAGCAATTGCAAGCGTTGTAATTAACATTTTCTATTTTCTTCTGCAACAGTACTAAATGAGGGAGTGTTGGATCCAGCATCTACTGTCTTGGCCATCTTCCCTTCGCCCATGATGTATGCCGGACCAACTGAAGTGCAGTGGCACGCCAAGGCTCGTATGTCAACAGGTGCTAACTTCTATATTGTAGGTCGTGATCCTGCTGGCATGCCTCACCCTGAAACTAAAAAAGATATCTACGAAGCCACCCATGGTCGCAAGGTCCTCACCATGGCCCCTGGACTAACACAGCTGGAGATCATTCCTTTCCGAGTAGCAGCTTATGACAAGATGGCCAGCAGGATGGCCTTCTTTGACCCAGCTCGCAAAGAGGAATTTGAGTTCATCTCTGGCACAAAGATGCGCACATTAGCTCGTACTGGAGAAAATCCTCCCGATGGTTTCATGGCTCCATCAGCATGGAAGATTCTTAGCACATATTATCAGAGTCTGAGCAAGGCATGAATGAATGGGGGGTTTAGGTAATGAGAATCATTAGTCCTGTAATATTTATTTAAATTAACATCTTGTTTAGTCACACAGAAAATGCATATCTTTGTTTTGATGCATATCTGCATCATATATCATTTTGGTTACATGGAAATGTTATATGGCTAATGATACCTCGGGAGTATTTTCTTCAATTTAAAGTGAATTGTGTTCTGTACTGTGCACTTTGTGATTGTTAACACTTGGGCATTTACCATATGAGGACCACATAGAATGATAAGATAAGAATGTGTGTAAACCAAAAGTGAAGAAAATAAATGTATTGGCCTCAATCTTTTTAAAATTATGGCTTATTAAGTTGAAAATATACATTTTAAGTAAGACAAGCAAAGGTTTTTAAAAATATATATTTTCATATTTATTAATATTTATAAATAATATTCTCTCCTGTTTTTCACAAAACTGTGATTATTTTGATGTAGTAAATTGATTTCTTGTTATGACTGACAATATGCACTGTCTTAAACTGTTTAAGTTAGTCCATTGAGAAAATATATAAATCAGGGTTTTGTGTAGGCAACTTGATATGACATATACACCCAGAAGCAGCTGAAATGCTAGGATGTTGTGCTATGTATAAAGAAGTAGATATATACAGTATTATCATTGCTGGAGCATGTGTTTGAATGGTAGAATACAAGATTAGAAATATTGCTGTGCATTTCACAATAGACCAGCCTGTGAGAGCTAATTTCATGTAAGAGCTATATTATTTTTAGCTTCAGTAAATGTGATACAGTTTAAAGACAGCATTCCATACTTGGGATTATATGTATATTCAAGCAGTATAATATCTCTTTTAACAGTATGTTCAATGCAAAGTGTTTGAATTTTGCACAAATGTTATTAGACCGTACAGTATATTTTATCAGTTTATCTGGTGTGAGTGTTATTGCTCCATATTTTTACAATTTTTTTTTTATGTTATCATATAATTATTAAAGTGAATTGTTTAAAGATTAATTTTCGATTGATTAACCAGATCAGGTAAATTCTTATAGAGTACCAAGATATGTATAATCAGACACACAAAATACATCACCAAATAATGAAGTGCAAGACCTGTGATTGTTGATTATAACTCGACAATCACACTTTTCAAATGTTCATTTTAACCCTTCAAATAGTAAATAAATTTCCTTTGTTACTTGTTTCTTTTGCATAATTATGCACATGTGCCAATTGTGTTGGCTTCCATAATACATTTTATAGGAGTTGCCCTGCCAACAATTTTGAGTTAGAGGTAGCAGTTCTGATATTCAAACTTGGTTTCACTTTACAGTAGGCCTGACAGGAAGCATGCTGATGAGCTTTTCTCTTGCTACCTATTCTAACAATGTCCTTAGCTCTGCTCCTCTCCCTTCTATTCACAATGTCTCAGCATCTCCATTATCTCCTCCCCCTACACCTTATCATCCTACCTCTACCTTTTCTCTCTTCCATTCAATTTCCTTTGCCATTGAAAACCCAGATGCTCAAATCTCTACCATTTCCCTGGTGCCTACCACTACTATTAACTCCACACTTTGCCTGTTACACCAAGCAATGAAAACATTCCACGCCATTTTCTACCACGTTCTATGCTACATCCATCTCTGCTTCTTGGATGTCTATGTTCTCTTCTTCCTCATAAGGCAACCTTCCTTTCTCAGACCTCTGCACTTTACTCTGCCATAGAAACTCATGAAGACGTTCAAATTTTTCCAAGATATGACCAAAGAGAATGTTCCTCTCTCTCCTCCACCCTCCATTCTCTCTTCTCCCATTCCCTTTACATTCAAATTAACTGTTGACGTTCATCCTCATTCTCCTTATGTTCCCCCTATCTTCCTCCCACTTTCTCACATTACACCCAATCCTCCCCTTCTCTATCTGCACCATCCTCCCTTCTTTCCACTTATCACTTCTGCTCCCTCCTGAATGCACATGTGGCTTCCTTGTCACAACAGTGTCCTTTTCTGGATCCTTCCCCTCCTGATGTTCTTCCAGATACTTTTCCTGTTTCCTTGTCTTTCTCTAAATTTCTTTCCTCCTACTTCTTTGACACCCGTTTCTACCCGTATGACACATTGATTGCTTCATAATGGTTCTTTAGCACTGTTCCTTTTCTTTTCTGTTCCATAGATACTCTCCATTTGAACTAACTTTGCCTTTAACTTCCTTCCCCTTTTGCATAATCCCCACATTACTCCATTTGCTACCCTCTACCTTTTTCACTACCATACTATCCTATAGTGCTCTACAAACTTTGCCATCTGGCACCTCTTGACTCATTTTTACCCTTTTTGCCACAATATGTTACCATAGTGCTATATGACCATTGAAGCTTAGTATACTTAAATGTATTAACCATTAACCATAACAAGTAGCACTGTTGAGAGATGATACTTCACATTGTTTACACAAAACAAACAAAAACACAAGTGTCCTTATACTCCTTCCACAATGACAATAATCTGTTTCTGCTACTTCAGAACAAAATCAAAATGAAAATTAAAGATGACTACTAGTTCCAGTGAATCTGTATCACCAAATGGCATTCATGAACAAATCTCAGCAAATCTAATGTTGAGGTTCCCATTTTTTGTGAGTGCATTTGCATTTATTTTATTTCCATTACTTTTTGCCTCCTTAGTGAACACAGGCCAAGTCGATCATACCCTGTTTTTTTCTAATAAACTGCATATTCATCTAGTTAGTTGTCAATCAGAGGTTCCATAGGAATGTTTTAGATTTGTTTCTATATAAAATAATGGAAGGTATGTGCAGATAAATTTGTAGAATATACTCCCTGGTTGTATTTGGAAGACCCATCCCTGCTGAAAAGACCTGGAGAACTTTTTTTTACCATCAGATGATGAAAGCCTACCTGACACATTCAAAATTGATCAATGAGAAGTAAACAAAATAACAAATGGTCTTAAGAAACCCAAGCCTCTTCTAACTGATATTAAGGAACAACTACAAATTACAATAGCCAGATCACCCATTCCTTTAGCACAACTATCCCAATCACAGCAAACAGCAGTCAAACCTCAGAAGCCAAGCCCAATAAGAAAGTAGTTAGGAAAAGCTTTATCCTACAAGAACTAAGAGAGATGGAAAAAGACTGAAAGAGAATTAAATATAGATTGGATCCACAGAAACCAACCTGGATATGATTCTCACCATAATGCAAATGAGACTATTTGCGAAAGTTCATGGACAGACGTTTACACTGAAGCTGATGGTGTGCCGTCCACCAGCAGACCATACCCATGTATGGTCTACTGATGGGTTTTCATACATAGGTATTCATACATATAGAAAACAAGTAAAAAAAATAATTGTTCAATGGCTGGGTAGCAAGAGATCTGTAAATTTCTACTAATCAACTAGTTCTGAAATCATGCAAACCAGTAAGGAGATACTGAATCAAGGCAACAGTTAAGAAGGCTTACAAATCAAACTCTGGGATAAGCAAAAGAGAAAGTGATATATTCCTATGGGCTAGCTTAGTCTGGTAACTCAAAAATTTGTCCTGATTTTGTTTAATTACGTTCAAATCTTAAAAAGGACCATGTTGTTGATACACAAAGAACAAAACAAGAATATACTCAGAACTCAAGTAGCTCAGATCTCTCATGATGTCTGCCATTTCTAGGACTATTCTAAATAAAAAAGATATCCTATATGCATAGATGAATCATACTGTGTACTATAATGACGGCTGCTTTTTAATTCTAGGGATATATGCATAGATGGTGAATGAACTCACACATATGAGACACTTGCCGGGCATCCCACCAGTGTGATGCTGTATTGGGGCTCGTGCTCTGACTCAGCAGCAGGCCGTGGCCGGAGCGTGGGCAGAGTCCAGGCCAGCAACGCACCCCTATTTTGTAGCCGCCCAGAAACTTTTATTTTCAACTTCAAAATATACTGGCGTTAGTGGGTTAATGGTATATAAGATGATGACAAAACTGCATGGCGATGTCCAAAGACAAGTGTATCAACATTAGCTGTTGAAATATCTGTTGGAACATCAGATCATGCTGTTTATCTACAGGCATGTATTACAAGTCATAAATATCATTCAGTCTTACCCAACATTCACATTCCAAGTCTAGTATCTTCCAAAAGAGGTCTATTGGTGGGCCTACAAAACTTTATATGGGGGAGGGAGAGTCAAGAGGTTTCAGCTGGGAGACACTGAAGAAAAAGAATTATAAACTTTAAACTGCCATTGTCACTAGGTGACAATGGCAGATGTAAATCAGAAATGTAATTCTGTTAATCTATTGCTTATTTTAATGAGCAACTACTAGACATAGTGGTGAGTTGTGTTATACAATTACAGTTTCAGGAACTAAAAAGTTTGGGAGCAAGCCCAACAGAAGGTAACTGCCTTATGTAGATCCACCACTGAATACCATAATAGCAATTTGGTGGAAATATACATGGTGCCTTGAAAAAATAATAACTAGGTTAAATTTTATATTAACATGATTCAGTGACTAGACTTAGCATCATGGGAATAACAGAGTTTAACACAACAACCTCAATAATCACATCTTTGCTGGCACTTTTGCAAGGTAACAAACAAAACATTTAGAACTTTCACTATTCAACTCTACAAAATTTGAATACTTGTGATCCTGTGCCACTGATTCAATTTAACTTTTTTCTTTTATACATTTCTGTAAAAAAAAACTTATATATCAACAATCAGACATTAAGTTTGTCAAATCAAAATAGTCTCATATAATTTTCATATGGTAATGCACTCATTTGTATCTAATATATCCATGATAACACTCAAAATATATCAGAAGTTAACATTCAAAGTTTGAGAACATTGAAATTCCAAAGAAAAACAGGACTGATTTTTATATCTTTGGAAAGTTTAATGGAAAAAAAAGGTGGATCAACATTTAAATGAAGTTAAAGTAATGGCAAAATATTGTTTTACTTACAAAGTTTAAAGTACTGCTCTTCAGACTGAGATTAAATTCATATTCATACAAGACTGTGAAACCAATTTTCTTCTGCTTCCCACAGGGCAATAAAACCAAAGTTGTATACTCTTAACTGATTTCATATATTTCAATCTTATAAAAACAACAAGTCAGCAATGCAAGACAATTCAGCTTTAGAGTGTTGCTATAAATGTGACTTAAAATGTAGAAAGATTATAAAGTTTTGCATGAGCATCAAGTTTCCACATATATTCAGCACTTGAGCCTCATTAAGTAAAAAGATTAAAGAATAGTAAACCTCCTATAACCAAGGCTTTGGGCAAATGAGATAAGATCTGATCACCTTTCAAATGGACAACAATGACTACATGATTAAGAGGTATTACAATATACGAATACCTAAAGCATTTTCTTTCTATCCACGAGGTGATACCAAATCAATGGGGCATTTCATAATCCAAATCAAATCTAAAATAAAAAAATCCTAATCATAGCTTCCTTTCATTCTACAGGGATATCATTCCTGAATATGCTACTACTTTTTTAACATCCTTCAAAAGCCCGTCTTTTACTGAAAAACTGACTTCATATAAATGACTTGTTCACAATGCATATCACTTTCAAATCACAAGGGAACAACAGTGCACATAACCAAGTACATATTGCAGTTGTGAACTAAGGCTTTTGTTGCTTGTCTTTCCATTATATAGAGTCTTTGATAAACAACTGATTCTTCTATATATTCAGTTTGTGGCTTGCAATGGCCATTATATCAGGCTTTCTTGTTTGTTTTTTATACAAATGTCTACCTCAGCATGAGGCAAATACAGTTGAAAACACTGGATAATTTCTTTTTAAATACTATACAGAGTTCACACTCACAGTAAACTTTTGTTTTTCTATTTACCAGTCCTTATCAAGTTTCTAGTGATGTTTATACTTAACTGATATTCAGGATTTGACAAGGGTTTTCTGAAGAACATGGGCATCTGCAGGCTCAATTCT